GGGTACAATGTAACTGGTGAATCACCTACATTCACAATAGGTATATATACTGTTCCCCTAGCAACCCACACCAAGGATGGTGACACCAACAGCCCTTCAGGAAGGCTCTTGTCACTTACTGGCTCAACTAGGATTGCACCAGAGGACCCAAAATGAGCTGACCAAGTAGCAGCCACCATCTTAATAACACCTAAAGGTATATGAACAGGCCTCCTGCCACGAACCCTTGCAAACCCTGTCCTGATCCCAGAGGGCTGAGTCCTAACCTGGTGACACAACTGCAAGGCTCTCTGCCATGGATCTGGGGCACTCTGTACTGCAGGGAGGTCAAACAGAACAGGCCCATGCTGGTTAAAAAGTTCATCATAACAACTCTGAATAATATTCATACCCAATATTCCTGGGACCTCAGATCGAACTGATGGACCTGGCGGGTCTTTAACTACCAGCACACCCTTTCTAGGACTAACTTTGCCCAACACCTCTACATCTGGTTCCAGATAGCCAAGATAAGGGATGTCCAGCCCATTTGCAGCCCTCAACTGCAACCAATGGCACAGGAGGGTTCACTTTAAAACAATCACAGCGGTGACCAGCACAGGAATTGCTTATCTCAACAGCTTCTCCAGGGGTGGTATTTATATCCATAATCATCCCAGCAAATTGCTCACTGGGCGATATAGGCGTGGCACAGTGTTTGTTATTATGACATTTATGATCATAAGAGTCTGTTAACAGACTGTGATATTGTTTAAAGCTTCTGTTTAAATGAGAGGTGACTGGTGCTGCCTTCAACACACCAGCACAACTAAAAAAAATGTTTGCTTTTCATAAACACAGAAACAAACCTGTTTTGATGAACCACTGCTCTGTGGAAACTAGAAGCACCATAAATAAACATTCACCCATCTTGTCAGCTGCCACTGTGTTTCAGGAAGTCACTAAACAACCTCTAACTGTCCCTGACAGAAGGTTGTCCTCTCTCTCTCAGACCACGTCCACAAGCCTGAGGCAACTTTGACTTTACAGCAGTGGAAACCTTTGGGTGAACCTTCACTGGTTGTTCTTCCAATTGCCTCATGATCACAAACAATCCAGATTCTGTTCCTTCCTCGTCTGCATCACTCTCCTTCTCCTCTGATCCCGGCTAAAGTCCTCCACCCTTAGAAAAATAGGTCTCAGCAAAGGTGGTGATATTTCAACATTTTCTTCACAAAGATAACATGCAAAAGTGCAAAGTGAGCCTGTTTTTCTGTCTCTGTTCTGCCTGTGGTAATGTTTGCACCATCTTCTGGGTGAAGTCTGTTGTAACGGTCTGATGTGAAATATTGTTTACACTGTTCATGCACTGAAAAAGTCTTCTGGCTAAAATAGGACAGCCTGGTATTTTAAGTATGAAGCTCGACAAGCATCAACTGACTCAACAAAGTAAATACAAGTGCTGCAGCAAACAGACTTAGAACGAGCTGTTCTTTAAAAGTTAACCCACTGTGACGTTGTTTCATGATTACAAAGAAATTGTGTTATATGCAAGTATTTGGACACCATATTAAGTCAATATGTACTGTAGTCACCCTGCCCTGTTTGGCAGATATCATAGCTTGCAAAGTCTTTATGTTTAAGCAGCTAAAAGTTGCTGTTCTCGATTGAGGATTTTTCACTCTTCCATCAGATTGCTTGCAGCTCTGAGATGCTTCAGGCTGTGCTGCCCTCTCTGCATGTCACTGAGTTCGTTCAGTGCTTCAAAGCTTCAGCTCCACCATATGCATAAAATCTCCTGCTAAGTTGACTTTTTTATGCATTTGTCTCAGTCCCTGTAACATCCACCAACATAGCACTACTTGGCATGTGAACTATTAATTCAAAACTGATACTGTGTTTTTGAGAATCAATACAGGATTTTAAAAAATGCAATTCAAAATACTCAAGGGTATCAATATTTTCTTATACCCCTATAATTTACCCAAACCTTTGTATGAGCTATTCTCCATTTTTAAGGTTGAGCACTCGACTGGAAAACACACTCGGTCCTCTTTTTAAAGTTAATTTTAAAAATTGCCACTAGATACTTTCATCCAGAAAGTCTACATATAACTTCAAACGTATCCTGATTAGTGAAGTGGTCTCCTGCCACTGATGGCCTACAGTCTATAGCAGGCATTGTACATGTTAATGGTACCACATCGTGCCCCAGGTGTCGCTTATGATTAAAGTACAGGAGGTGCTTCAGCTGTTTGAACAGGTGCCCAGTTTATTCTATAATATCTACTACAGTTTAGACTAAATAAACTATTAAAAGTAAACTAATTAGCTGGAAAAAGCACTAAACTGTATACATATACTGCAGAATCTAATTGTTATGAAAAATGAAATACCTTGAAACATTCTTACACCCACAATACGAACGTTCTAGGATTAACCGATTGCACCACAGAGACACCCAAGTGCAGCCTCCCAGGGCTAATATAACACCCCTCCAGTAAGATCTCACGCCCAATGTGTATGGCTCTGCTTACATTTCTTTAGCTTGAAATCTTGCAGCTGTGTCTTTATCTGGATGTGTCAACACACATGCTGATAAATGATCTGACAAATGTCAACTGCACAACAAAAACGAAGCATCTCTCACACTGACAACAGTAAGATGATTTTGCATGATAGATGACTACTTACATCAGAAAGCTTTTAATTCCTTCTATGTTCTGCAGCCGTGTCTGTTTCGAATAGTGGCCAGGTAGTAAAAGGAACTTTGGCCTCAAATGAAACTTCCTGTCACTGTTGATAATAAAAACAGTCCTATCATCTTGTTAGGAGGCGGCTCTGCCTCAGCTGGTGGTTTCCTCTGTTATGTTCACTGCACCTCACAGAGTTTGTGATGTAGTTCACTGGAAAAAATATCGGTTTTAAAGAGTTGATGTTTCAGAAAAACAACACCACACAGTGTTTTTAAACTGAACTTTGAGCACATTCAGGGTCAAAGACCCTGCTGCGTTTTAATTTGTAGAGCATTAGTGTCACCTAGTGGAGGAAACGGCAAAGTGCAGCGACGCCACTGTGTGTACTACACAGCAGGTGTGGTACAAGATGTAATCAGCTAGGCCTCTGTTGTAAAACTGTGATTACAAGACCTTTTCTAATTCTGCTTCTTAGTTTGAAAACCGTTTTTTGTCTTGGCAGACTGGTGAGCATGCCGACGTTGGCTGTAGACGCACAGCCTGGTTGTCAACAGGAAGCTAATATTTGACTTGGTGACAATATAAAAATTACATATGTATGATGAACACGGGCGTTCCTTTGGTTAACTTAGCCAGTCACTCAAAAGTGTTGTGGGTCTGTTTGTTTGAC